AAGTGAATCAGGCTTCCCCGTTGACTTTGTTTGTCGGAAAGTCGCAAAAGCTGATCACATGATCCTGGGACTCTCCAACCATCATAAATATGAACCAGTTGCCAAGAGTCTGAATTTTGATCATGTGAATGTGGGGATACTGTAATGGTTGTAAGTGTGAAAAATGGTCAAGTCACTTTTTTCAGCGATGTTGTAACTTTGAACAGTCACTAAACAAACTGATGTAAGTTGAGGACTATCTGTACTATGCAAAGAAATCTACACAGACATACATGTGAAGATACCAGGAGTTGAGCTCCACCAGAAGGAGACTGTTTAAACCAGCTCAAAATATTATAACTGTAAAAGTCACTTTTCAATAGCTACTCTGGAACAGCAGAGAGAATCTGAAATAATAGAGGAGGAGGCAAGCATAGTCCAATCAATGTTCTTTTCACTCTTTCGCACCACTGCACGGCTATAATCACAGCACAGTACAGATACAGAGAAATAGTTCAGGAAATTGGTGAGAATTTAATGAGATCTGGAAAAATCTCAGAATTAGTTGGCCCTGGCTCCCTGAGTTAACCTCCACATGATTGTCTTTAATGAGATCCATGAAACCCCACAAAGGTATTATTACATTAGCATTAACATCAACATCAGCTACTGAATGACATGCAATGAAAAATTAAACTGATTTGCTTGGAAAAAGGAAAACAATGTAATCTGGGAAAAGTCTAGAAGTTGTATGGTGCCTTCTACCCATATTTACTCACAGCATTTCTATTAAAAAGAGTTGGAGCCAAATGTATTTTACTAATGGGTATCTAATACTTTTAAGATTAGTACCAGCATATCTGTAAATAATTGTTGAGAAATACAGTTAATTCATTTTGGAACAGGTTCTGCTGGAATTGAAAGCCCACTTATTATTAGTTTGCAAAGATACTGAAGCTATCTATTATCTAAGTTTTTAGTTTGGGTGTTTGGTTTTTTTCTTTTTAAAAAGTCACACACATGGTTTTTTAATGTTTATACATTCATGCTGTGAACCTTACAGAATAATTTGGGAGTAGCATATAACTTGGTCAAAACTAAATTAAAGAAAGAATACGGCAGCTGTGTTTTTCACAGAAGTTTGGATGATTGCAATGGGAAACGGATGCTGGGCTAAACAGGCATTTGATCTAATCAAGAAAACTGCATTTTATATTCTTTATAAGGATCTAAGGCAAGGGTTTCCAATCTTGGCAACTTTAAGATGCATGGACTTCAACTCCTAGAATTTCCCCACTGCCTGGAGAATTCTGGGAGTTGAAGCCCACATGTCTTAAAGTTGCCAGGATTGGAAATCCTTGAACTAAGCTATATTTATAAAACTGAAGAGGGTGCTATTATGGATACAAATAATAAAGAGACTGTAATTCTAATATGACAGAGCATTTTTTTCTTTTGATGCTTTTTAATGCAGATTTTTTATCATCCTCTCTCATAATTCCACAAAAGATCTCTTTCCCCATCTCATCTCTTATCTATAAACAAATTATAAAGCCTTGTTATTCAATCCAAATCAGCAAAAGTCCATTAAGAGTTACCAGGAAATATAACATATATATTTTAATCTTAATCAAATAAACTAGTTTTATGTTCCTTTATTTTATTTGTAACATAGTAACTTATAAATACAGCAAAAGATCTCTTCTTTCTATATCTTACCTTTTACATATAAAGAAATCTTTAAAGCCTCATCATTCAGCCATAAAGAAAATCCATTAACAACTATCAGAAACAACATATAGATTTTTAACCTGATCAAATAAAACAACTCTGTATTCATTCCATCTTCTTTTAAGAATCTTAATTTCTTTAGTGTCCCAAAAGTTGATTTTGTAACTCATAAGGAGTTTCTAACAAATCTCTTTTGTAAAACCAAGACAAGAAAGTTCTGATTTATTATTTGTCTGCCCCCTTTAATTATTAAGATATAAGCCAGTTTCATTTGTAAATCCAATGCAACTTTTTTTCCTTATCATTCTTGTAGCCTGACATTTTTAAATCCACTTTCAGAACTACATCTGAATTAGCCCTAGTTTGTTTTATCCAGTAATAATCTATATTATTTCTGAATCTATTTTTTATAATAGCAGACAATTTAAAGAGTAATTTATGAGTGCATAGTCCCCCAAAATTCTTGAAGTCTTCCAAGTTCATATATTTTTGCTCCATTCTATATTAATTAGTCATTTATAATTTCAGTTCTTTCTGGCTCCCTCTAGTGTCCAACTTTCAAAGTCCCTCTTGTCATTTTTTCTATTTGTTTATTTATTTTATTTATTTATTATTTATTTTATTTTTATCCTATCTATTACTTTATAAGTAACTCAAGGCAGTGAATATACAGTACATAATACTCCTTCCTTCTTTCCTCATAACAACAATCCTATGAAGTAGGCTGGGCTGAGAGAGTGACTGACCCAAAGTTCCCCAGCTGACTTTCAAAATTAAGGTGGGATAAGAACTCCTGGTTTCTAGCCTGGTCCTTAACCAGTAGACCAATCTGGCTGTAAACACCAATTTTCCATGGGAGCATTTCTTAAAAATTAGTTTCAAAATCTTTACACACACACACAAACTATATAAGAATTTTAAACAACCCAATTAATTGTAATTAATTTCAAAATGTTATTTCAAGTTCCTCTTACCCCTTAATTCATTTAGAACTTTCCAGAATCAATGTTCTAATCACCCTCTTGCTGTTTATTCAAATACTAGTTGTACCCGGCCACGCGTTGCTGTGGCTCAGTCTGGTTAGCGTGTGTTGCTTTTACGTCCAACAGATGGCGCTGTTTTTTTAAAAAAGCATGTTTTACCTGTCACAGGTGTGACATCTACTGTATATAATAGTAGGTATATAAAAACACACGCGTATTCGAATGCAACGTTGTGTTAAAATTTCAAAGCAATCGGTGAAGAACTTTCAGAGATTTAAGATTTTGAACAAACGAACATTTACATTTTTATTTATATAGAAGATAGATAAGATTTTTTTAAAAGTCCTTAAGCTTGAATGAAACTTTTTTCATCAGATAGAAGAAAACTCATCTGATGTAATGAAACTTGCCTTTCTGAGGGTTCTTAATATAAAAAAGCCATTAATAAGCAATTTTCAAAAATGATTAGGAAAGAAAGTAGGCAAACCCAGTGTCCTTTTGAAGGCTCTGAACTGTGGTTTGGGTAGAGATGACTTTTCTTCAGCTCCCAAAACTTTAAAACTCACCAGAGACTGTTGTCTTACAGTTTCCTTGTGAAGAGCCACTGTATGGAGTGCTTGTAGGCAATCCTGGTCCTCTCCTTGCTCAGGAGAGGAATTTCAAGGAGCAATCCATTCACGGGTTCTTCATTCTACTGCAGTTGTTGACTTTACTCTTGCCGAGTGTTTTTAGTCTGCCATTGCTTCCCTGGAAGTCCCCAGGAAATATTATAGATACCTTATGTTTTAAAGAATGTTCAATTTTGGGGGCCTGTAAACATCCTCTTTGCCTAATCGGCTCAGTGCTTACAATCAATCAGCATGCAATGTAGCTCATTTGAGGCATAAGTGATAAACAAGGGTCAAGATGGTTTCCATAATACCAAATACTAGCTTTAAGAGTTGTCTCTTTCGTGTGGCTTTTTTCATGTTTAGCCCTGTAAAGCAGTTATTGTCAGAAGGGTGCTCTGAATTAGCACTTGGAATTTGAAACTTAGGTTGAAGCATGAGGTAGAAATATGGAAAATATGTCAACTATGTGTAAATATTCTAATTAATGGTACGTCCAGTTTACAAAATATAAATAGAATGAATCTGTTCTTGTTTCCTGTTTCCTTTTATTTTTATACAGGATGGTGGTTTGATGCATGTGGGCCTTCCAATCTAAATGGTCTATACTATCCATTGCGACAGAACACAAACAAATTTAAAGGCATTAAATGGTACTACTGGAAAGGAGCAGGCTATTCTCTAAAGGCCACAACTATGATGATCCGCCCAACAGATTTCTAAAAAAACTACACTTTTTGAAATATTATGTTGACATAATTTTAATATACTTTGACAATATGGATACACTATGACCAATTTTTCTGCCTGAACAACATGCACATGCATCCTATAGGAACCAGTGTTTCTAGTCCTGATTTCAGCATTGCTGAATTTCATCACAGTTCAGTCATGCAAGAAGAAATAACTAATGCAATAATGATTTTAAAAGGAGAATGTTAGAAGGATTCTGCAGAACCTTAAGAACTTTGTTTTCATGAACGTTCATGAAGTTTATGCATAACTGGAACTGTGAAATATATCTAGATTGTCTAAAATTTCCTCAGTCTTAAACATTACTTTATCTCTTACAACTGAACTCTTAATTGTTATTTTAAAAAGAGCACCGCTTTGTGAACTATATTGTACCTTATTATTCATGCTGTTCCTTGTAATTATGTAAATATTTTGTAATTAATGCCTAGATACAGATTATTACTTTTAGTAGTCACATATTCAAGGATATTTGGTAGCACATAGTATATTTAATAAGACTGTATAAAATATTTCTATATTTTACATGTCTTTTCTTTAAAATCCAATACTGAGTATATAACAGACCACTATTTTTATACCTTGCATATCAGATATTTGTATCGGTATTCTAAAGCTCAAAATATCTTTGCAATTTATAGAACTCTACATGTGAACTCAGTATAATGTATAAGAATATTGGACTGTTGTTCTTTCTTGTTCTTCTCTGTTAAAATAATACCTGTTAATGATAATTTATCAGTATTTTGGACAGATTAAAAGATCTGCTTCTATTTACTTTAGCTTAAAGGGAAACTGCCAATTAAAAGTTTGAACATCTCTTGAGGAACATTGATTTGGGATTAATTGATATACAGTTCCCTGTCAACATTTTCCATTGCTTATACTTTGATATATGACAATCATATCATTATATTGATAAACTAAAAAGCAAAATATTACTTACAGGAGCTGCAGGGAAATCCACTGACAGTTCAAATGGCTCTTCAGAAATCCAATAGCCATGTTCCAGAGACCACAAAACCTAGACAGTAAACCAGTGAGAATTAATAGTTCTGTTCGAAATGTGTAGTCAGTAGAAAGTAGATAATTAGCAATGGAATAGTTAGCATATTCAAGCTTTGCTTCATAGATTCCAGATAGCTACGCTTTAGCTATACATTGCGTACAGCGTTTTTTTTTACTTTATTGAAATCTCATCAGACATTTACCCCATAATAGAAACAGGCTTCTACATTTGTGGACTATGCTCAGTCTTAAAATAGATGTTTAATATACATATATAGGATCAGGTCATGAACTTGGCCCCAGGGGATGTGCAACACAAAGCCAAGCTTATTTGAAACTTTGACTTAGATGAACTGAAAGTAGTTGAGGGAAGTGAAAATCCTAACTTGCTAGTTGCAATGAACCACTATTCCTGTGCCATCAGACAAATTGATTAAAACCAGGATCATGTATTCAGCACCAAGACTGTGAATACAAATGTTTCCCTTATATAGCCCAAAAGTATTCTTTATGAGTGAATTAAAGGACTTTCCAAGTCTTCAATCATAATGAATACATCTAGGGAGGAGATCTGATAGAAACCAGAAAATTCTCAGTGCATAGGTTGAAGTGCCGCCCACTTTTCTCACAATTTCTTTAGACAGTTACCAACATTTATAACTGCTTGGCCTAAGATTAATTAGTCTTGGAAATTGCTAATTTGCTACAAAATAGTTCCTTCACAAAGCACAGTTGAAACAAATGATGTATGTCTCAAGAACAGTATTTCTTGTCTGAATCTTTGTTAATAAGTTCCAGATTCTCCACTCCCAAATCCATTCCTCAGTGCTCAGCATACATATGCAGAATAAGAGAAACTCTAACAATTAATACTGTTCATCATTTGATCAGTGGTCAACAGCTGGTATGTTCAAAACAGTGATTTAACATGCCAGTCCCAGAAGGAATATTACAAAGACTCTATAACAAAAGATCAAAACAAATGCAGTTTAAAACCAGTCAATGACTTTTTCCACAGGAACAAAATGACATCCTCTGTGGTTATCTACTTAAATGTGCCATTTCCTCTACAAGCCCCTTTTTAAAAATATAGTTTAAAGGGTGAGTGTCCTCTTTCATATTTTTCACCTGTAAAAATATTTAATACTCTTATTATCTGAAGCAAAACATTGTCAAACACTTGCTGAATCTCCCTATATTTCCCATCAAATCATACCAGAATGAATGGCCCAGAAGCATTAAATATTGGATAAGAAACTGAAATATTCTGCATATAATCTTGGTATGGTGAATTGTTTATTTAGAGATATATACATATTCCTTAATTGCAGTACATCAGATGAAAAGGTATTTATAATAACTTTATAGGATTCTAAGAGATAACTTTTAAAAAAACCCCAGTGTTAAATTCTTTCCTCCATCATATTTTGGGGCCAGCTGCCAGGAAAAAATGCAATTTTTCTCTCATCTTGGCTCTAATAGGAAATATATCACATTGGAATAAGTAATTTTTTTCCTGGGCTTCATCACAAAATCTCTGGGATGTCTCTCCATTCCACCTGAAATTAAGGTTCACCCTTACATCACTAATATCTTATAGCATGACTTCTCCAAATACTACACATTTTTATTTCAAAAGTTGTCAGCTCTACATTTTGACATGGATCATGTGCCTCTAGGCCAGGGGTGTCAAACTCGCAACGTCACGTGACGTGTCGCGACTTATTGTGACTTTTTTTGCCATTGCTGGCAATGGGGTGGGAACAGTTTCGGCATGACGCATCCAGCCTGTGGGCCGGCAGTTTGACACCCCTGCTCTAGGCATTCAAATCAGAATGGATATTAGTAATAAGAAACCAGTTAGTGAGAAAAATACTCAATTTACAAGTATTATGAATCAAATAGGCAAGGAAGCATTGAATAGGTTAAACACCATACTATATAGTCCAAAAAGAAAAAATCAGCTACAGAAAAGTTGCAATTTAAAAATTATGTAACATACAATAATGGGGAGTGTAATCAGTTGTATTTACAATCGTAGTTCAGAAGCATCTGAATCAAGATAATTTTTTGGAATATGATTACAGAAAATACGATCCATCTGTGACACAAATCCCTTGGCATTAAGGGCCTTCCTGTTTCTGCAGCTGCACTTGATTCCTCTCCAGTCTGGGAAAGAGGAATATTACCGACTTCTGCTTCTATTACTTTGAAAATCAATATGTATACTTTGAGTACAAGGTTATCATTCGTTTGAGTGCCTATGTTACTGTCTTGTTTCAGCAGATATTTTGTAACAATAGCAGGAAGGCTAAAACTCATAAATAAATACATTTTTTTAAGTTAGAAGAGGGATTTTCAATGATCATACACCAAGTTGAAAATATAAACAAAGAAGGCACCCAGTTGTACATTTTAATAGCCAGTTTTGGAGCCTCCAATTTATCTGTACATTACTAATCCAAGAAACAGGTAAGGTCCAGGAAAATGTAAGCCAGCCTTTATTTTTGTTGAGAGGTTTTCTTATTTCCTCATATTTCTTGTACCTCCAGTATACTTTGGTCTGAGAGGGGGAGAACAGAAGAGCTTGAAGGATCTGTTTAGAAAAAATTTTGGATTTTAGCATTTTAACTGCAAAATTATTCTAGTGTAGAGTTCTCTCTAACTTTGTTTAGACTCAGACTTTATGAGTCTCAAGTTTAGAGCTGGCACCAGGAACCTTTTGGATATTTGGGGCCTCTTCTCTCCATGACTGATGACAATTATAGCATGGTTTTCCACTCTTGTGAGTCAAGAATGTGAATTTGATGAATTTGGTCCCACCTACAAGTATTCATATGGCCAAATTCACTTTGCAAGCCTCTACCATCCACATAATGTGAAATGTGACCAAAACATTTCATACTCCTGATTTATAGGAAATATTCATCTTCAGTTTTTAAAAAAGGTGGTAATAATGTTGTGCACATTTATATGCTTATTTTGCTGTAAAATTAATACATAATAAACCTAAGCAACCTTGATTAACAGCAACACTTTAATATTTCACACTGTATCGCATATATTAATTTACCATTAACGTTACCAGATAATGAACATATTTTTAATGAAAAAGAAAGTCTATTGCTAGTCATCTGTATTACTTACCCAATCATAACAAACAATCCAGCAGCCCCTAGCAATTCCCATAAGTATATTTAAAGTCCGGCGGGGGCTCCCTGCAATTACATGACTTGTACTTTTGCATACTTCATCAGAAGTCAGAAAACCACCCAGCTTCTTCAGCACCTGCAGAGTTACTTTCTGCATTCTTTAAGAAACAGAGAGTAGATAACTTAATACCTTACTTACATTTCTACAGAAATGATTAATTTATAGTTACAATATAAGCATTATTATAAGAGGTTTGTACAAAACATTAAAATGGCCAAAAGGTATGTTTACTTTGAGCCCACTTCATTGAAAGTAGTCTGACCTCAGCAATGAGCTATTTCTAGCTGTATAATGGAGTTTAGGACAGCCCTATTTGATGTTGAGATATTTCCAATGAGGTTGGAACAGATGTTTCAGGGGTCAGAATGTTCCTAGCGTTGAATGTCTTGCACATATTTACTTAAGTAAGGGTACAATAAAACAGCATGGTAATTCATTGCCTCCAAGCTAAACTTATATACTTTTGAAAATGAATCAAATCTGAAATTGGTACAGAATGTAGAAGCCCAGCTATTATCAGATAAGAATTATATCACACCAATCTTCTGAGTGCTATACTGTTTTCCGATAAGATTCTGGATCAAATTCAAAGTCCTGGTTTTAAACCACATGGCTTGGCTCCCATGTATCTCCAAGCAGAAGCATCCTATCCATTATAAGTACACAGCTCTTATCTATTCAACCCAGAAAAGAATGTTTAAGGCGCCCATTTTCATGAAGTATATTGAGGGGTGGTGGTCTCTGTGATAAATGTTTCTCTCGGGAGGGAATAGCAATTTCCAGTGGTTCAGTTGGCCTCCATTTTGCTCCCATGGGAAAGCCATAACAATAGTGTTGAGAGAACATGTGGGATCTGATGGTGACTACTGAAAGAGGACAGCAGGATGGTAGGTGCTGTTCTTAATTTGATATTTGAATTGTTTTTTTTAAATCTCTGAATTTAATTTATATAAGTAAGTTGGTCTTATTCCATACTGCAATTTGAAGCAGTTAATAGGGAACAGCACACAGTGAATGCAGTTCTGACTAAGCATGCATTCTTTCATCATGCAGCAAACAGATTGTAACAAACATATTGTTTCCTAACTGTATGCTAACAAAATCCATATTTAAAAGTACCATACTTTTGCTACAGTCCCTTTTAAAGTAATTTACGCATTCTTCTTACATAAAAATGATTTAATTAAAATTATTAATATGATGTGTTTTAAGACATTTAGAAAATTTATATTATACTGTATATCCAAAGCTAATTTGAATCCTTGGGATTGAAGTCTATATCTGTCTACATTTTTCTGAGCATAGCATACAAATATAAACTACTAATGGAAGTGTTGTTTCTCAAATGTTACCATAGGCCTGCATTAGAGGCCACATTGGCTCAGATTTTAGGAAATTGAAATCCAAACATTGGAGGATACTAGACCTAGAAGGCAGTTTTATGAACTACAGAGATATGAAATTATGTGTACATAGAAACATAATCACAATACCTGGTACTTACTCAGGGGACATGCTTGTCATGACTAAGGTTCTCAAAGGCTAAAGATTTAAAGAAAGAAGGAAAAATAAATCAACGTTTGCTTGCCCTTAACAATGTCCAATTCTGATGAATATCTAAATCATACAAAAATTAAAGCTTTTTCATACATCTCAACATTTAGGAAGCAAAGTGTAGCTTCTTGTTATACACACCCTGCATGAAGGAGCCCTGTGTACACATGTAGGGTTTCTTCGTGTATGGGATTCCTGAGTGGTCCTTAGTTCTCGGCTGCAAAGTTAGAGAGGGTACCACTGTACATCTCTCAGTGCTGAACATGAAAAATTAGCATACATACGATCCTTGAACATATTTTTTCAACATTCAGTGGGGAAGAAAGAATGCAGTGGAAACACTGTATTAAAAGGTGGTGTACAGGTCACCTGAGCAAAAGACTATTCCTAGAAAACAGCTTTGATGGTCTAGTACTTTTAATCTATAACTAACTAAGTTAATTCAACATGAGGTTGCCAGTATTGTATTTTAACTGCAAATATTTGTCTCCATGATTTACAGAAAAGATTCACCCATTCTAATTGAATATTCTAAATGCATCAAATAGAATCCGCTTTCTGAAATTTGTAAAGCTCTTTCCCCATATAGGAAGCACATTTATTTTATTATTATAAAATGTTGGGCTGTATCTTCAGTATTTAGACTGCTGAAAAGCTATACAGAACAATTCAGCACATACAAACTAGAGACATCTCTTCAATGATAACAGCAATTCTTCCAACTAGTAATAAACAAATACAATGTTCTACCTAAACACATTGCTTAGATTTTGACCATGTGGAAAGGTCTGTATGATAAACAGACCGATTGATAAAACAGAGAAGAATAAATCCAAGTACTAGGTGAAATATCTTGTGACAGACGCTTCTTAAAAACCTGTTGTTGCTCATCAGAGGGTTTAATGAATTTTTGTTTCCATGAATTAGAAAGGGGAGTGTGTGGATGGGTAAAAAAGCAATCTTAGTTTAGCTGAAAATCCTCCTGCTATTAAATCAGGTGGTTGATAATGGCTCTGAATACTCCAATACTTGAGTTAAAGAAAAATAAAATGATTATAAAGTATAGGAACCATTTCATGGCTGTAGCATGGCCCACTGTGTTCTGCCAAATCAAATGTTGATTTTACCAAATATATTCATCCAGAAAACTTCAATTTTAAGAATATGTAATAAAATGCTGCAGAGTTCAGTGTAGCTTGTCCAGTCGATCATGTTTTCCCACTGGGTAGATTAGCTATTCAGTGGTTTGCTATGATTCTGTGTCCACTAAACATTAGATTTTCTGGTCTCCCCTTAGGATTCTCACCTACTTCTGCAGATTGTAGGGTTCCCCAGACCTGACACAAAAAGACATAACTGAACTTGGGAAAAGGAAGAAATGAAAGGCACTTCCTTCTACTGGTCTTATAGCCATGATATACCAACTCACCTTTTTAATTCTCCTAATCTTTAATTTCCTATCAGGCTCATTCACATGGCTCCCCAAATGTTCACAAGCAGCATTTTTGGCATCACTCGTTGAAAATTTGGCATTATCTAAAAACCAGATCCATTCAGAGTTAATTCTAACCCATACTATGAAAAATGTAAATGCTGTTAATGTATTAGCACAATCGTATCTTTGCATTTTTCCTGTATATTTTTCATAATGAGGTACAGATCCTTGCTTTTTGTGTTTTCTCTACATTTTATGGCTTCTCTAAAAAGGAGTAATTGCAGTTCTAAGTAAACATTTTAAAAATCATTTTAGTCTTTCAAAAACTCACCTTTCATATTGATTTTTCGCAATTCCTAATTTGAATTAAAAAAACTGAATACAGTACAGTATTTGCTTTTATTTATCTTTATGGCAGGCAAACCAGCCGAGTTTCACACAGGTTGCACCAAGGTTAGTCTCACAGCCCATTACATCTTCATAACTTTTCATGGCAGAACTTTGTTAGATTTTTATTCTGCAACTTCATATTACTAGAAGCAAATGCCCTTTAAAATGAAAACAGCAGTGGCGGACAAAATATTTTAAAGTTGAAATGTTTACAGTTTACAGTTCAAAACAACTATTTAGATCTTTCTAGAAATGTTTCTGTTAAGTTCAAACCAAATCTAATTCAAAGTAACCTCTTATAGTTCAGAACATTTCCAGAATTGTTGGAACAGCTTCACAACCCAAGATTGAAACAGCTACACACCTCTATAAAAACACTCCAATTTCATATACTTCACATGTGTTATTTGAATTCTAAGATGTCTGCTCTTAAATTCAGCCTTAGTAATAGCTGCATTCATACTTGATTGCTCCATCTTCAGGCCACATTCAATCTTATTTCCACCAATTAACAGATAAAACATAATTATTACAACATGTAACATGACAGTAGCCTGAGCTTTATGGAATATATAATGAAGTCTTTGGCTGAATGGGAAAAACTGCTGTGAACATCAAATTTCCTGATATAAGATCTCTTGGCACACAAAAAAAGAGGTGTGTGCCCTAATATATCACGAAGTAAGAAAATTCACTCTACTCTAGCTATACTGTATACAGCTACACTGTATACAATACTGTAGTATGGTAAATATACTATTGATACCTATGAATACCATTCTCTGAACAACTTTTCTACTCAAAATATATTAAGCATTTCTATAACTACCCTTTTAGGTTTGTTAAGGAAATGGGAGAGAAAAAATTCAGGGGAAAAAAAGCTTACATTGTACATGATATTCACGATTAGGATGGTATAAATGAAGGTATCACGGCTAGTGAAAACAGTATCAGTAGTATGGCATTTTCTAGGCATGATTTGACCACATTAACTTTTAAGAGTTTATTTTAGAATTGCTTTCCCAAACTCCAAGTGCATGTTGACTTTTAATACAAATATAAGCAAGCTTCAAACACTGAGTATACTTCACTTCTACAAGAACTCTCTTCTATAAAGAGGTCATATAAAAACATAGCTGTTCATAAAGTACTAAGTTGCATCTGGGAACTGGGGTTCTTCAAATTCTAGCCAGTATTTGACATATAACACTGTGCCAAAAAGGAAATGCATTATTAATTCTTCTATAGGACTTGGGCATTTGTAATATGAAAATACATGGAAAAACATGTCTCCAATGCTGATCACTGTAAAATTTGCCAGGTAAGTCTCTTACAATCAACCCCCTTGATGAGAACATTTAATTCTCACATAATCTGGTGAACTGATATCAATGCAATGATGAGAAATAAATGAAGTGATTTAGAGTCTTACTATTGCCATTCAAAAAGACGATTAGATTAGTAATGAAAAACTTAGATTCTCGCAGGCTCACAAATCATGTACAGATGTACATATTCATTCTAGTTTACTGAATTTGATCTTACATAGACTAAAAAGTACACGTTCAGCAAATAATGATGCATGTAGAGTAATTAAATGGCGTATCATAAAAACAGCAGTATTTCTCTCCCAATGTATGATGCATTTTTTAAAATATTGAGAGCTGTCAAGGAAAACAAATCTATAACATAATTGGAACTAACATTTTGGCTTCAATGATTATATAACCCATTGCCCTGGATTTGCCAGTATACATACTCTATAGCAAGGGTCCCCAATCCCCGGTCCGTGAACCAGTACTGGTCCGCAGCATGCCAGCAACTGGTCCACACAAACAAGCAAAGCCCCATTCATGGGATACAGGCAGCACACAAAACCACGCACTCTCCGGTCCGCAGAAAAATCTTTCTCCATGGAACCGGCCCCTGGTGCCCTAAAGGTTAGGGACCTTTGCTCTATAGTGCAATAATGCCTGTTCAGATAAACAAATTTCCCATCTATACTTTTATTAATTCATAGAAAATGAATTATATTTTATGTCCAAGTAGATATTTACAAAATATTGGTAAGAAATTTACCGTATATATGAGTTAAAATATTGGTGCTCCTGGTAAGGAAAGAATCTGTATTTTGTGTAAGGCTGAATATTAACACATGTACTAACCATTATGCAAACAATAATTCAGAAGAATTGCTTTACAATTTGCACAAGACAGCACCTCTCTGTTACTTATTACAGAGCTATAGTATGTCTCCTCCCTCCAAGGTTTCTATATAGCCTAAAGGAAAGATATGGCTGCTTTAACAACTGGATACAGATACTATGCTTGTGAGACATCTGAATTTCCTAATTTTGTTTGAAACATGAGGAGCAGTAATCTATCTTACATATGAAAGAGATTCAATACAGTCATAATGTGTATATTGGATCAAATATTTAATATACAGAATGGAGCTCCTCTGCCACTCCTGGTTCAACGTAAAAAGTTGGGTGTCCACAATTTCTCTAGAATGATATGTGAGGAGAACCTGAGGTCAGTGTTTATTATATTAAACTAAGAAATTTTATTTAAAATAAATACTACAATCCTGAAGGATTATTGATTCCTGTACTGACCAGAATCAATGTATTATTTTCATAACTGAAGGTTTCAATGTACCTTATAGCAATAGATTGCCATTAACAGATGAAGTAACCAAGTTTTAATTTCCAGATGTAAATCAGATTTGAATTCAGACTAATCCTTGATTTTAGATATAATAGAACTTAGCTAACTGAAGACTCATATAATCCAATCGGTACTTATTAACTGATCTGCGTCAAGATCCTGAGTTTAATTTAGTTTGAATAAACATGTACAGAATTGGACTATAACATTACAAACTGCTGTAGTCCTTGGCTTAGTTAGGTGGAAACATTACAGTACACTATATTTTACAGTCTGTAGAATGCTGAGCAATCAAGTGCATAAGCATAGTAAAGAGATTTCTTTTTTTAAAGGAATATCACCAAGTAGATATATATGACAGCAATTTCAGCAGAATTTTTACCAGACTCCAAAAATCCTCCTGAAAGCTGATGTCACAAATCAATTAAAAGCTTCATGTCTCTTAGACAAAGGTTCTGTATGAAATTAATTCTCAAAAAGCTGAGAATGCTACAGAATAAAGCTATCATTTTATAACAGCGAACCTACTTTACCAGTTAATTCCTGCAGAGAATCATGAACATTCAATAAGTAATTATATTTTTAAACTGAATCAAAAGAATACAGTAATTCTTTTCAGTAGATAGAGCCTTCATATATTTTTATTGAAAACTATTTAAAATGTAGTTATTTCACATTCTGAAGATCAAATAAGACTTCTCCATGGTTAGTATTTTATACATCTATACATACACATCTTTCTTGAAATTAAGGCGCTGTATTCACCTTACAAAGTACAGATCATTATTTCAGATGCATCAGCAAAAGAACATTCAGTTATACTTAGGAAGCTAAACATGAGTTATTCTCATAATTCATTTAACATGTTAAAAATACTCAGACATTAGACCTTCTTGTACATAACCACCTATTTCTAGCACTTTGTAGATTTTATAGAATGAACCCTTTTAATATGTATTTTAAGATACAGGAATAATATATGTTTTCTAGACAGCAGCATTACTATTGTACAAAATCACCTCATCAGGTATGTTTCCCAGTAATAAAAAACTCATTCAGTGGTTTTCAGGAATAAAATAATGATGTTCACAAATTTCCAGTGTACTCATTTTTGAGATTCTTAGGATTTTAAGAATTTAAAATGAGAATTTCTAAATTTCATTCATTCAGCAAAATGTTCACAAAACTTAAATATAGTCTTCTTTATATGAATTCCTTTCTTTAGAGCTGTAAATTTTCAAACTATAATTTTTTTGGAATTTCCAGTTAACTTCCTGGTTGCAGTAAAACAATTTTGTTATACTGCATTTTAAACAGATACTTCAAAATTCTTATTAATACTGCTAAAAACTGACTACGCAGGGAATCAACCTGAAATTATATGGATGGAATACTAAGTATTCAATAATATTCTATCAGATATATATAACAACTTTTCACGACTTTTTCCTTCTGTATATTTAAACTATATCTTGGTTTTTTAAAAAAAATATTTTTAAAAATATTCTAAACAGAGAATATTTCTTTACATATTTTTATGCATAGAATATTTCTTCTTTCTAAATGAGATTCTAAAAATATCTAAGTGCTCAATTACATTTCAGAGTGAAGGTTTTCAAACATATAAAATAATTCTGGGTGTTATTTTGCTGGATGATTATCTTTCAATAACAACTTACCAGCTGCAGAACTGATTGTGATCTGTTCCTGAATGTTGGAATTTAAAAAACAGTCTGACGTTTCTACTATGTTTCCATTTTCACCATTTGATGTACAATTTACACCTGTTTTTCTCCTTTGAAGAGGGGTAGATAGGTTGGGCTCACTAACTGCATCCTCAGTAATATCAGTCACTCTTTTCCTCTTTCTGTTGTAACGTGCACTTACTGGACTAGAATGTTGCAACAAACCTTCTAATTTGCTTCTGGGAGAATTATACACCATTTCTTTATCATTCTGTAACTTTTGCTGACATGGAAGGATGCTGGCTCTTATTTTATTTTTAGTAAAGTTAGAAGATGAAAAACAATCTTCAAAAGAAGTATCTTGATCTTTAGCAGACTTACTCGGAGCAAGCAACGCAAGCAAGAAATCATTCTGAGGTTCTTTATCATGTGATATAGAAGCCTTCAGTTTAAGGCTTGATTTCCTTCTATATTGTTGTTGTTTGCAAAGAGAAGAATTTTTAGTCATTACTGGAGTATCAATTAGATTAATTGAAGAAAAGTCATTCTCAGAACTACTGCTGCTGGTATTTCCAGTAAGTTCACAATGGACCAGATTTTTGGCAGAAACTGTATGGTCCACATTTTTCACCTGAGGAAGGGGATTATCAGCAATGGCTAAAAACCAGTCAATACCATCTTTGCATTCTGGGGTTGAAGGCATTATTGACTTTTTGACAGGGAAATCACATCCTTTGTCATTAAGTAAGGTTGAATTTTTATGTAAACCTTTACCACTCAATCGCTTTAGGCCTGTATGTTGAGAGTCCCTTGGAGAATCAGAAGAGGTATATAATTCAGCTCTGGAAACATCCATCACATTTTCAGTATTTGCTAAACAGTTGCTTGATTTTTTTCCATGGTTCTCGGTTTCAGGACTTCCAACCAAATTGGCAAAACTTGAATTTAAAAGGTGATTATTCTCAAGTTCTGTAATCAGAAACAGTTCATTATTGAAAAGCACACTTTATTTTTTTTTAAAAAAAATTGAATATGAATAAAAAAAAAACAAGAGTAAGATAAAGCATTGAAATGGACTACCAGCAAAAAAGAAGGGAAATGGCTATGCATACATATACAGCTAACTGGGAACAGAACATCCCCTGAAATAGCTCTACAAGCTTCCAAAGACACAATTGCTTCACTGATTTGAAGAGGGGTTATTCAATCACTCCAGCATTCTTTGTGAAATGCCCTTTGCAAATATTTTGTTCAGTCAGTAAAAACAAGATTGTCACATTTGATGCTACTTGTCCAAAGACCAAATCTGCTCTTCCGTAATACTTTGGCTATTCTCAAGTGGAACTTAAGGGACCCATCGTTAACGTCCACCACTTCTGTGGAACATTAGTGGGTGAATTCATTATTGTACATTCATTGTTTTTTCTACAAAAAATAAAATATTTCTATGTAGCAGTGTATCTTTGTTTGAAATAAGCCTAATTAGGCCTAACTTATTTTTGTCTGAATATCAATATTAAATTATATTTAATTAAAGACAAGGGATAATGACAATGGATGATTTTGCTATCAAAGTTGGTTCTTTGGCAGTGCTGCTCCCTGGATTCAAATGGGAGCCCTTAGGAATGCCTCAAGATAGCTTTTGGATGGCCATGGACCCACCTGGGAAGGGGAGTCTTGAAGATTCCAGTTCCCTTGGGAGCAGTCATAAAGTCACCGGTTATTCATCTTCCTCTCGGCAGTTCCGTTTTTTAAAAACATGTCTGGGTTTTAATTTTACTTTATGAAGCTTTTATTTCAATTTGTTTTCTGTTTTTAAAACTTGACCAGCTGGTTGAATGCCGAATTATTTTAATTATTTGTTCTTTTTTTCCCTTTTTCCTTTGATTTATGTTGTTGCATAACTTTTGCTTTTCTGTAAGGAAAACATGGCATGTTCCTGAGTAGTGGAAGTACTTTCATTTGATTTACATCTACATTAGTTTCTCACTACAGAGTTTTTGTATTTTACCAATTTGCAAAATGTTTGGAGGTTAATTTTTTAATTCTTCTTTTAACTTTGGATTGAAATATCCAGAAAATATCTTGTTTCTTTTTCTATTTCTTCTCTTTGAAGAAATATTACTTCAATGCCTGTGTTCTCTTATCTATGGTTGCTAAGTTACACAGAGCAAAAATGTATCAGATTATAAACAAATGGGGGTGACATCTGAAAAAAGATCATTTGGTAACATGCAATCCCTAGTTGACTTTTTTTTTAAGTTTGATGAAATGATAAATGCTGTAGAAAATACTCAGATGGATGTAGCTCTAGATATATTAGACTCACAAAAAGAATGTGATCTGAAAGCAGCAAATTTGGTGGAAAGAAATATGGATTTTACAGACTTAGAACTAATTGAGTTGATTGCACATGCCTCCCTGAAGTTCAAGCCTCCATTCTTTTACAACAGCAGAAACTTGACCGAGTGGAGAAGTGATAAATTGGTTTTTCCTAAGGAGATTGGGGACACATTTCACTGGAAAACAATTTCATCTGGACGTTTTTGGGAAGATCGACTGATTTTGGAGATTGGATTTATTATTTTTAACCTAACAATTGATAAGAGATGGTATTAAGAACAAATGTGGATATTTAATCCAGGACGAATCACTGCTAACTCTTCAAATAATTTGGGATAGATAAGAAGCCATGGTAAAATTTCTACAAGTTGATTACAATAACAGTTTGTTAACAGAAGGTTTTGAAACATTAATCTTGCCTTTTTCTATTATTATTGTTCTTGTTAATTATTTTGTCATTAATAAAGCTTATAGATGACAGGTTAATAAACTGCAAATAGATTTAACAGGTGGGAAACTAATGTTGTTGTAATATATTAATCAGTATTTAACTAGAGGGGATAATATGTATATATGTGTTAGGTTTTTTATGTCTTGCTTTGTGTTTTTTCTTTGTTTCTTTTTTAAAAAAATTTGGAGTTTTGTATTTTAACTTTTTTTTAATAAAATAAAAATAGAACAAGAAAAAAATTATAAATAAAAAATGGGACAGTTCCACCAATTGTTTTCTTGTTTACACTGACCTGATACTAAATTTACTAATACTAAGGTTCATTATTCTGGATCAGAGTAAACTTTCATTTTCAAGTAGTCTTGGGTTCTGATTGCCTCTTATTACATAATATTAACAATATTTTAATGAGACAAAGAATTATTAAGCACTTTGAAACTAGCTTATGCATATACCATAACTCATTTAGATTCATGCATACAAATAGTGGTGACTTCAAAACAGAAACTTCAATTTTCCTTCCTTCAACCTTGAAGACAGGAGAGAAGGAACCTGAAGAGCCAAATAATTATTTGCCAAACACTAAACTATGCATATTGTATTAGAAAAGAATATCAGCTTAGTTATTACATTGCTATAGAATAGATTGTTCTTTCATTATTTAGATGTTTTCCTTGGTATTTTAATATTTTAAAATCATTCTGTTTTAAAATATTTTTAAATGTTTGCAAATAGCATATTTAAGTGTTTTTATATATTTGCAGATTGCCCTAGGGAAGGAACATAGTTCCAAAACTCATTGGGCAGAAATAAGACACATATCAAATAAATCTCCTTGACAGTTCATGAGAACCGTTCTCTTTTGTCTAATCCTGCCGTCAATGTCGTCCATCTTTTTTTGGTGTTCCTCCAAACTGGGCAATCAGTTTCCATGTTTGGATAAAACAGGAAGCTTTAGTTAACTGAAGAATGTGAGTGTAATCATTCTGCACCATGAAGAGAAATAGGGAGGGATTCTGTCCTATATATATATATATAGATGATATCAAGATTTGAGCCAAGACGTGATTGCCAAGACATCATTTCTAAATCAGCAATAAAAAGCAGGTGATCCCAACAGTTCAAACACAGAACTAAAAATACACATGCATGCTCCAATAATTACTGTATTAGTAGAGCTCAAAACAATAAAACATACTAGGAGCATTGATACTTTTTACAGCAGCATTTTTCTTCAATAAAATATTCCATAGATTCCTTATCTGTTAAGAGAGCACTACAGGGTCATTCAAAATATTTATTTACAGTATTATCAATTACATATAACGGCTGGATATTTTTGAATGTGAACATTTAGATTTTATTTACATTTTTTTTCTTTTTTCTTTACCTGAAGTCAATGCTGAAGTTGATGTTGTAGACACAACAGCAGGGTCAGCGTCAGACATCTGAGATAACTGTGAAGCTAAAATGTGAATTATTAGATTTTTATTGAGTAAGTAATTCGCAAAGATATTTAGGGCCAATATTAATAGGTAGTTGCATATTCAATACATGTTCTTACGACATTTCAATACAGTGCTTTTAATATTTTGGATGCTCTGGTATTAAAAATCTACAAATTCTGAGGATTCCATTAAGCCATCATACAAAGCCATGGTAAGAGCTCAGCATGTTACAGATAGGAAACTACCACATAAATTAAACAGTGAGACCTCAACTTAACATGTCATCTGAATGATACATCTCATCTAATCAATGTTGGCAGGGTTTAAAAATATTTATTTATGGCTACATTCATTTGTTAAGCTTGATAAATTCTGATTTCAGGCCAATAAATTCAAATATGTCCAATATCTTGAAAAAAGCTTTTCCATTCCAAAAATGTATTGTTCAAGTTATCACAGAAATAAATAAAAAAAAAATTCTCAGAAATAAAGCATTTCTATTTTCAAACCTATTCCAAAAATCGTAAGATTAACAATATGAATATATTTTAATGTAAAACAATATACTGCATTTCCTTTGAAGACATTTTCACAGATGGTGTTGCCACCTTCCCCAATTTATAGTAAACATACATATCCATCACACATGATGTCCCTGATATAAACGAGCAGTAACATTTGTCTAATTGTCAGATACCGTCTTTAGCCTTTCTGCACTTTTTAAAAAAAAATAATACAATTATTCCCTGTGCAAACCACATCTATATTTTAATACTTCTCTATTTCCCTATTACTCTATTTTCTCCTACAGTGTTACCATTTTCTAATGTCTTTGCAGCACTTATGACTTTTTTCATAATGTCTGCTTGAACACATTTATAGTATTCCTTTAAATTCCATTCTTCAATATATCAGTATTGTTCCCATTTAAAATGTGTAAAATTTATAGAATTCCAGCATTCCCCCACTACAGTTTTATATAAAAGCTTTTAACAGTTTTATTTCTAATTTCTATTTCTTCTGTTGAAAATATCTGGTTTTTCATTTTATTAGGGCAGTGGCAGCCATAACTGAAGAAACTTTTATTTAATCAATCTATAGGCACCCAGTTCAACAATGACTGAACAGGAAACAGTGATAAAACCACCCTACATCCACTCCAGTGTCTAAAAAAAAAGTCTGATTATAAAAATCAATAACATTGATTTGTTAGGTCTAGAGAAAGAAATACATTCCAGCATATGATTATCCTATTGTTTCAGAAGTTCTATTTATAAATGTTCAAATAATGAGTGAAGCAAAAGAGACCAAAATAAGTCTGAGGGGGAAAAAAGATGCATTTCTTTATTAAAAGAATATATAGATTCAATTTCATTTTAACAGCCAATTCTCCAACAAGGATGTGATGATAGGGAGGGGGAATATTGGCAAAATGGAACTAATACGGATAAAAATCCAGCAATAAAAGAAAATAATTCTGCATCCTACAAATGAAAAACAATGTTTATCATCATACCAGTAGGGGAAACATTTTCTCTTTTCTCCTTCATGTCCTTTATTCTTTTCTCCATTATACCGCATTGATACTTTATTTTACTTGCTGGGCTGTACACCAGTGAACCATCATCTTCAAATAATAAAACTGGTATGTCTGTTTCTAAAAAATGGTAAATCAGCAATAGAATTTTAGATTTAAGAAGAAAGAATATATACAATATTTTGAAAGGGTAACATTTGGAGCTTGGACATTATTGTAACATTCTGAAAGTTTAAAAATAATCTAAAAAAAGAGATCTACATTAAAATGCTGCAACATATTAGGATCTTCCAATAATAAAGCTTTTGGTCAATTCTAACCAATTAGACAGAATAATCTTTTACCTGTAATGGATACTCATAAATACCTAATTTATTATAGTTCAACAGTCTATTACAGAGACATGTGCAACAAGATGCTCTTTATTTTTTCAAAAATGTTGTTCTAGTTTTATAAAAAAACTGGTTAGTACTTCTGCATAGTCTTATTTTTTATTTTTCATAGTAACTAAGTGTACTGTATTTATTACTGACAGTTGCCCAATATTTGGAATAAGAGGGAATATTAATATAATACACAGAATCTGCAGAATGGAAACTTACTTTATACACAGATTGCTTCTAGATAAAGCGTAACACTTAAAAAAAGAAACAAAAAATATTTCAAATATGTTATTTGTTTTGCAATACCCTACAGCAATCCACGTTATGAAAAGGTTTAGAGCCTAAATTGTGGGCTCTGATGTTCCTATTAAATTTGCATGACAAATTTGGAGAATGTATTAAACATTACTTTTTCTATTCAAAGCTAATGCTCTGGATAATTATGTATGACCTTTCTTCTGTCTCCAAAAAGTATAAAAGATTACTGTTATTACCTTATCTGAGTATAGCTGAACAACTTCTTCCCCAAAGGAATATGGGGAATATGACCCTTGATCTCTCCTCTAGGTTCAAGGCAAGATACAGGCAGTCCTTGACTTATGACTGGTCAGTTAAAAACCATTTGAAATTATGACAGGCCCATAAAGCACTTCTGATTGTTATAAAATGTTGTGCCATCCCCCTCCAGTCATGTGATAGTATTTTAGGGTGCTTGATAACCAGCTCATCTTTACTACTGGTTGCAGTGTCCCATGGTTATGCAACCATAATTTGCGACAGTTTTTGCTTCTGGCAAACAATGCCTATTTAGAAGGCACTTACAACTGCAGCAATTAATGACTATGATTTTTTTTAATGATCACAGTGATTTATTTAATGACCGCTGCAAATAATGTTGTAAAGTCAGGCAGTCACTTGGCTGCCTCAGCATATGATAATAAATCCAGTCCCAACTGTGATTGTAAGTCAAGGACTATCTATAATAAGAAGAGAGATTTGGGAACTGGTGAGAAAAAAAGGTGAAGTGTGTTTTCTTTATGTTAATCCTTCTCTCCCCTCCCATAAAATATTTCAGTAGATGGAGGTAAGAAAGAAGACTCAAGAACAACCCCCCCTTCCATGTTTTATATTTCTCTATATTTTTCACAGTGATCTTCCACTTTTTAACATTAGCTCAAGGAGCTATTATGAAAATTATGCTCAAGTGTCACCATATGGTAGCATTATTTTTCAGTGCAAAGGATAAAGAGATTTAACAGTGCGAATGGATCATATACTTGCCTGTTGCTGTTCTTTGCATTTCTAATTCTTTAACCATAGTTTCCATTCTTTTTTGTAATCTACGATCTTTCTCTGGAGTTTTTCCAAATAAATCTTGGGGCTGCATGCATTTGTGCTACAAAATAGAGTCATTACATTGATTTGTAAGATTTGTAATACTTTAACATAAAGCACTAGAATTTTCCTTACTGCACCAATTCTACAAAAATAAAAAGTACTTTTCACACATCACTGTAATATTTGTATTGAAGTATCTCCACATGATGCAATATGTTTTCAAATGAAAAACTGGGGCCAAAACAAAGGTTGAATGGGATTATGGCANGGGTGTCCAAACTTTTTTCAAAGAGGGCCAGATTGGATGAAGTGAACGTGCTGGAGGGCCGAACATTTTTCCGAACATTCTTTGAACCATTACAATTAAATGCAAATGAATTATTTTATGCCTCTTTCCTCTCCCTCTCTTTCCTCTTTCTCTCTCTCTCTCTCTTTCCTTTCCCTTTCCTCTCCCCTCTCTCTCTTTCCTCTCCCCCTCTTTCTCTTTCCTCTCTCTCTTTCTCTTTCCTCTTTCTCTCTTTCTTTCCTCTAACTTTCTCTTTCCTCTTTCTCCTTTCTTTCCTCTTTTCTTCTCTTTCCTTCCTTTCTCTTTCCTCTCTTTCCTTTATTTCTCTTTCCTCTTTCTCTTCTCTTTCCTCTTTCTTTCCTCTCTCTTTTCTCAATCATTTTTCTTTCCTCTTTTTCTCTTTCCTCTCCCCCTTGCTTTCTTTCTCTTTCTTCTCCTTTCTCTCCCTCTTTCCTCTTTTCCTCTTTCCTCTCTCTTTTCTTTCTTTCCTCTCTTCTTTCTCTTTCCTTTCTCTTTCTCAATCTTTTTTCTCTTTTCTCTTTTTCTCTTTCCTCTCTCTTGCTTTCTTTTCTCTCCCTTTCCTCTCCCTTTCTCTTTCCTCTTTCCTCTCTCTCTTTCCCTCTTTCCTCTCTTCTCTTTCTCTTTCCTCTTTCTCTTCCTTTCCTCTTTCCTTTCTTTCCTCTCCTCTTTCTCTTTCCTCTAACTTTCTCTCTTTCTCCTCTTTTCTTCTCTTTCTTTCCTCTTTCTCTCTTTCCTTTCTTTCTCTTTCTTTCCTCTTTCTCTTTCCCTCTTTCCTCTCTTTCTCTTTCCTCTATTTCTCTTCTTTCCTCTTTTCCTCTTTTTCTTTTCTCTTTTTCTTTTTTTCCTCTTTCTCTTCTCTTCCTCTCTTTCCTCTAACTTTCTCTCTCTTTCCCCTTTCTCTTTCCACTTTTTCTCTTTCCCTCTCTCCTCTCTGTCAGGCCCTGAGTGTCTTACCCCCCTCCGTACCCAAGCCTCCGCTCCATTGTGGCTGCGCTGCTGCCTCCGGCGCCCGCCGTTGTGGCCGTTCCGGCTGACGCCTCCGCCCCGTTGGTGCGGCGGTGGCGCTGCTCTGTTTCCACCATCCTGGCTGACATCATCAGGAGGCGCCGCGCCGTGTAGCGCGTTTGGGCGGAGATTTGCCCGAACTGGCTAATGACCTTGTTAATGGCTTGCTGATGACTTTTCCCCGGGCGGGGGCCTGCCTTGTGGGAGGCGGATGGCGCAAGACCGAACGAACGCCGGGCCTGACAATCCCCAGGTGTTAGCAGCGAGGTGATAGCGGGGCTGGCTAGCCACGGGGGAGGGGCTAGGCAGGGTGGACCTGGGAGGGGCGGGATGGGGGTGTAGTATTTAGAGCGCTGTGGAAATGTTACTCCCAGTGCTAACTTTGTTTCATATTGAAGCCTATGTAAAGCCTTGTTTCTCTTCTCTTTCTTTCCTCTTTCTCTCTCTCCCTCTCCCTCCAGGTTAGGAGAGAGAGAGAGAGAATGAAAGGCAGATGGCGCCGAACGGGCGGGGAGAGCAGGACGGAAGGTAGAAGCTCCCAGCCGCCCCACCATCGCTTCTTCAGCCAAACAAGCAGGGAGGGGCAGGGAGGGGGAACAGGACGGGAGGCAGCAGCTCCAGTGGCGGCGGCCCCATTGCGTCCTCAGCCAAATGGGCAGGGAGGGGGAGCAGGACGGGAGGCAGCGGCTCTGGCAGCAGCCACTGCAGCATCGTCGGGGTCCCCGTCGCTGCCCCTGGCCCGGCCGCCGCCCCCGCCGCATCCTCAGCCACTTCGCCGTCTTAGGAGGAGGGCGCCAAGGCCGGGTGCACCATGGGCGGCCACGCCGGCAACGGGGAGTGCCGATGAGGGGGGGGTCCCGATCGCCGCCAGCCCTGCCGCCCTCGCATCCCAAGGTCTCCTTCTCCTGCAGCAACGAGGGCAGCAGCGGCGGCTCCCTGAAAGTGCCCGAGGAAGGTGCCACCGATGGGGCCGAGGTGGGGCCGGGCGGCGGAGAGCCCTGCGGCAGCCAGGCGAGCTTCATGCCTGACTGCCGTCCGGCCCGGGGAGACATGTGGCCGGTTTGGCTTCCCGGGGAGCGATGCTCCCGCTGGCCGCCGCACCAGCCATGACTGCCGCCCAGCACGGGGAGACATGTGGCTGGTTCGGCTGCCCAGGGAACGGCCCAGGAAGCGATGCCCCAGCCGAGACTGGAACAAGTAAGCCGGGGGGGGCGAATCACCTGCCCTGCAGCCACTTCGCGGCGGTGCTCTGCGGACTCAGAGCTCCCTCCATCCCCCCCTGCCACTGACCTTCCATCTCCGGCTCTGCTGCTGCTTGGCCAATGGTTGCACCGGCTGGACATCGCAGGGGCTGCTCTCTCGGGGCTGCGGCTTACGGGAGGGCTGGCCTACTCAGCAAAGGCTCCGGGGGGTTGCTCCCAGCGGGGATCCCGGGGCTTCCCCGCATGGCTCCCCAGCCACGTGCGCCTGGGACGGGGCCAGCCCGGGAAAGGGACTTCCTGGCCGCCCTTCTCCCAGGGGGCGGGACACCCAGGCGCAGGGCCAATGAGGAGCCCTGCGAGGGGGCAAGTCCCATGAGAGAGAGAGAGAGACAGAAGTGCAAGTGCCTCTGTCTCTGTCTCTCTCTCTCATGGGACTTGCCGGAGGGCCGTGGGAGGGCCGGATTTACATAGAGCAGGGAGGGCTGTTCGAGGGCCGGATTAAACCGGGCCACGGGTCACAAATGGCCCGCGGGCCGGACTTTGGACATGTCTGGATTATGGCAACCAGCAGCTTCTTGCAGATTTTATCAAATTAAACTTTTACTAGCAAATCATCTCAAGTTAACAGACCAAACTACTTTAGTCGTTTTTGATTTCTATGTCTTACATTAATACATTGGAATCTGAGAAAATACTTAGCCAATTTTAATCCTTTAGTCAATGAAGGCTTTTAAGAGCAATGTGAAATAAAATTAAGGACTGCACTTAAAATAATAGGTCACTATATATATATGTATACAGACCTTTTTAATAAACTGAGGCAACCCTTCATTAGTATTTATTGCAGGATATAATGACTCATCAATATGCATTCCAACTTCTCTGCATCTGAGAAAGCATTAAGAATATACATTTGGTTTAGCATTAGACAGATTTATTATTATTAATGGTTCTAAGTGAATGAAACCTTTCATATTTCTAACAAATCATGCTCAATTTCATACCATGTCTATTTTATCTTTACCTTATCTTTATCTTACTAAGATACCAGAGAAGCAAAGCTTGCCCAGAAAATCCAGGTCAACAAATAAACCACTTGTTTGCTTATAAAAGTCACATTACAAATGCCATGTTATATTCATGTTGAGATGGGTGAAGATAGAGCACACAACTGTAAAAGAGCTAGTAGGCTACACATTAGATAGGGAAAAAAACTGTAAAGGCAGAGGTCACATTCCTCAGTTTTGCTGGCAGTCGGAGCCTAAGACCAAGGCTTTATAGCAGGACTTAAAATGTCAATCAGGTCAGTGATTCTGCTTTACATTCTGAGAAGTGAAGGCCTTCGCTTCTCTGATCCCTCCCATGAGTGTATCAAAATTTCAGTTACAGACAACATAGAATAAACTATTCCTTGAGTTGACAATTTTCTGGCTCGGTACCTCAATTCTGAAAACTCGAAAAATAAAATAACCCAGTTGCCTACAGCAGCCTCTTGCTGCCAGGCGTAACTGTAAATCCATATTTATAAGCACGCCAAGAAGTTCCAATCCTCTGTCATACTTGATCTAATCAAATCAGCCAGGACAAACGGGAAAACTGAACATTATAGTCATTATAGTAACAGAGAACAAGGCGAAATAACTGCCAAAGAGATGTTTCTTTGCTTTCCATAATCTTTCCCAAGGATTCATAGCCTGATTATAACATTTAACATAATTTATGGGTAACTTACAGGACATTTAGTCAGACGTCAGACTATGTATTATACAAGTGTAAAACTTCCAAACATAAAGTGACCCTTAAAAATAATTCTATAGAACACATCTGGTTATAAATTGCTTAGCATCTGAATATTTGCTGAAATATTTATTACTGTGTTAGTGTAGAACAGTATTCTTCAAGAAAACTGTATGTCTCAATTCCAGAAATCTGAAACAATACAAGTCTTCACTTACTGACTATTCATTCAGTGACTCTTTGAAGTTATGACAGTGCTGAAAAATAACTTTATGGACCATTTACAATCTTTACAGCGTCCCTCAGTCACATGAGCACCATTATAGTAGTATGAGGAGTCCTGTGCCTGACCTATGTTTTTTTTCTCCTCCTGCACAGCAGATATTGGAAAGAAAGGGATTTTATTTACTTATTAAATTTGTTTGTTGACTTTGATTGCAAGAGAGTAAACTGTTTGCTCTTCCTCACATCGAAAACAATGTGATCGCATTGGCAGCCTGGGGCTGAGAGCTCCAGATATCCTACTCAAACAGCTTACAGTACTCTCTTGAAATCTCTTCCTCTCCAATCTCTGTATTTGTGAGGAGGGGGAGGGGAGGAATGAGAAAAAAAAGCAAGCAGTTTCTGTAGGTCAGGGGTCTTCAAACTTGGCCCTTTTATACTTGTGGACTTCTACTCGTGCCTGGCTGAAGAATTCTGGGAGTTGAAGTCCACAAGTCATAAAAGGGCCAAGTTTGAAGACCCCTGCTGCAGGCAATCTGTCCTCTGCCTGACCCTTTTGCTTTTGGCATGATCACATGGCTTCCAATGTGTAGCAGAGAAAACAGCTTATTCTCTTGAAATCTCTTCCTCTCCAATCTCTCTACTCTGCTGGGGGGGGGCAGTGCTACAGTATTTTATACTGTTTAAAAAATATAAACATATTTGTTATTTTACAACATTTATTATACATAATTTGGGTTACTTACCAAAATACCACTGATTCAGTGGTATTTATAAAAATAAATTTCTTTTACAATGTTTCTCATTTTTATTTTAAATTAATAAATTGTTAGTTTTGTTTTTAATATTTGCTACAAGCTGCTCAACTCTAATGAATATTGCAACACTTCATTTTGTCTACTTAAGAGAAACGGGGGTAAAAAGCGAATACTGGAAACAGAGAGAACCATCAGAGTATTAGTAAAAGAACAATATGTACAAGAAATGTACAATGTTATTCTCTGTCATAACAAGAAGAGATAGAAAGCAGTAGTGAAAAAATTGAAAAAGGACTCAGTATACAAATTCAAAATCTTGTCTACTTTGTAATATGCTGTCCCATCTGTTGATATGTTATTCCTTGACCTGGTGTACTTCTAAATACAGATTTATTTCTTTTACAGAAAAATATAGGTAGTCCTATATTGAAGACTGGAATTTCCATCGTAAGTCAATATAACTGGTCCTGATTTTATGACCAATGGTCATAAAGTGAGACACTGGTTGTTAAGTGAATAACATGGTTGTTAAGCCAATCCACTTTCCCCAATGGCCATTTTTTGCTGGAATGGCAAAAAAAATTGGAAACTAGCAAAAAACTTGCAAATCACAATCATATGAGCAGGACACAGCAACCAGTTGTAAATATGAGCTGGTTGCCAAGGGACTAAATTGCAATCATGTGATCATGGGAATGTACTGAGATGGTTGGAAGTCCTTTACAGGCCATAAAGCACCCTCTTCTAGACTGTCATAAGTTCAGGTCATTGTCAAATGTATGTACCTGTATAGCAAATTTAGAGTCTGATTATCTTACTCCATTGAACAGTTATAAGTCGAGGACTACTTGTACATTAAATTTAAAACCACAACATTGGAAAATGTTTCAATATATTTATAGGATATTCTAGGAAACAAGAAAACACCGTGATCCTCAGAAGCCAAAAAAGCTGTACGCAAAATATAAGGTCCTTTTAGTTGTAGCTATTGCAGTGTCCCTTATAGTCTTGGGATCACAATTTGAATATTCAGTGATTGGCTCATAATGATATCACAGCATCCTGTGATTGCCATTTGCAATTTCCATTGCTAGATTTGACAAGCAAAATCAAATGGCAGGAGCCATCAGGAAATGCTGATCATGCAACCACAAAGATGCAGTGACTATGGTGGTGGGATTCAACTAATAATGACTACTCAATTACCATGTGCAAGCAAGGGCTACCTGTAAAGCTATGAAAACATGAAATTTGCAACAAAAACATTGAAAGACACTAGCAATGGGGTTTTAGTGACATCTAGTGATCTTACAGATGCAAACAATATATGGCATTCTACACAAGAAATTTGACATACTTTACTAGTAAAGATGAAAACTTATATGCCACAAAAATATGAGTCTCAGGATTTTAGGTACAATAAAGGTTTAAATCATAATTCTAAACAGCATATGTCGTCATTCTAAACTGAATTGGTTTTTCTTTCTTGCATTTTTTGTGGTAAGCTTCAGTTTAGGTATTATGTCTTTAGCAATGGAGTATGTGATGCACAAAACAAAAAACCAATCATTACTAACTTCTGAATCACAATAATGCAGTTTAAGAACTTTAATAAAAATATTATTATGAAATTCATCTTTTTAATTATGCCTATAATAGTCTAGTATTTTCTTGGAAGATTAGAAGTTTAAATGCTATATTTAAAACATATTTGTAATTAACTTCATTTTTATTACAACTTCTCAATTGGCAGCAGGATATATTTATCAAAGCTCCTACAGTGATGCAGACCATTGCTTTATCTTATCCATTATTATTACCATTGACTATTAATTTATTCTCTGCCAGCAATTCAAGCAGCTTTTTACCCAGTGCTTCAAGCTGGTTGAAGCTAGACTGAGTTTAGAGCACACATACACAACTATTGAGCTAACATGCCTTCTACAATGCAACTCAGATTTGTAGCCAATAGTTACTCCTTGCATTCTATTCAGATATAACATTATATACTGGGGATATTTGAAATCCACATTGATTGTACTAGTATTATTCTTGTAATATTTTCCCCTCTGGTATATTTCTAAACACCAATACTTACTTTTCTACCCAAAGTACTGACACTAGTTTAATTCCAGCTTTTTGAGCTCTATTCCACGTAGACAGGAATCCATCTTTAAAGATCACATGAGTAACTTGTTTATTCAAAGTCTTAGAAATCTACAAAACATAAATGAATCAAGCATTTTAAAATATTTGAAAATATTTTAAGATTCTTCATTTCTACTGAAAAGTGACAGGTTTTTTGTGCTCTTCGTAGGTAAGCAGGGAATTTGTAGATTTTAAAAGTGACAATAATTAACTCATTCAGTACTCTGTATCTATTAAAGAGTGAACAGGCCAAGAGGAAGAAGATGACTAAGAACATAAATCGAGATGATGCAATCTTCAAAGACAGGGACATATTAAACTTAAAGAAAAGATACACAAATTGATATAGATATATAGTAAACAGAAAGTTAGTTTGCAAAAAAAGGATAGCATGGAAAGATATAGTGCAGTGGTCTCCAATTTTTCTGGCTGGCAGTCTGGTGGTGGGGGAAGAGAGGATGGTTTTGTGTGAATGGAAGGTGAGCACAAGGACACACAGCTCCAATGGCTGAAGTGGTGGGTGCACGGGCCTGCCGCTTGAACAAATGGAGCTTTGTGCACAAGTGCTCTCTATTCACACAAGGTAGTGGGCTGTGGGTAGAGACCCTGATGTAGTGAATGGTGTGATCGTGAGCTAAATTTAATTAGCTTTCTTCTTCTATTAACTCCTACTTTCCTTTTTTACATTTTTTTATTCTTTTGAGATTCATATGCTGTAGCTTACCTGATAAATAGCCATGGTGGATGTATTGTATATACTTTATGCAAGATATATAAAAAGTAGTTGGAATTAAAAAGAAACAGACAATATATAAAAAAGGAATATGAAATTACTTAGCCTTAGTTGCAGTCTGGTGTTGGAGTAGGATGTAGCTCAAAGACTTCATGGAGACTTTATGAAATCAAATTAAAGATTAAGCTATCCCAGATCTTTGAATAATGTGCAACCTTTAAATTTCAAGAACACTTTAGCAAGCAAGATGTTATAAATCAGCAGCAACAACAATAAGGAAACTATTTGCTTTCTTATATCTCTAGTATTCAGGTGTGGGAACACCACAAAAGCAAGCAAATAAAACAACTGATGGAGTTGCTTCGCAAAGGAGTTTTCAAAGGCAGCTTTACTTGAAGTTAACTTAAAAAAAACATCACTTTTAAACTTTCTATAGCTGTTAAGGTTACCTGATTTGGGTTCCATTAAATATCTCCAGTTTTTTGATGTAGAAATTGCCTATTTTCTCTACAACTACTGAAAGATTTTGCTTGTTGGTGAGCAATGATTTTGGATCCTTCATCTCAACAGAGACTGGGGAAAGCACTGGTGAATTCTGAAATCATTTCGGTATCTGCCTATTTATATCTTTAATACCAATAGAACTGAAACAAGCGTTGGCTTACCTGAACGCCTTTTCTCAACATGATGAGGAAGAATCCACCAATGGGTTATCTCAGTCCTACCGCCCAATCAGACCAAGTTGTCAAGTTGTCACGCCTCCTTCTTGTCTGGGAGTTCCCAGTTTTCATGGACGGCGTAGCCAATGACAATACTTCGACGTGATGACTCTCGAGCAGGCAACAAACAAAGTAGAAACACAAACCAAAGACCCAACCCGGACCCAACTGACTAACGGGAGGGCGTGGATTCTTCCTCATCATGTTGAGAAAAGGCGTTCAGGTAAGCCAACGCTTGTTCTCCAACATGATTGCGGAAGAATCCACCAATGGGACGTACCAAAGCTCCTGGAGTCCCTAAGGGCAGGAGTCAGGTGTGGCCGGGTCCCCAGACGGCGTGACCACTTGTTGCAAAATACGTCTACCGAAAGCAGCCTCGGCCGACGCAAATTTGTCCAAGCGGTAATGCCTAATGAAAGGCGAAGATGACGACCATGTCGCCGCCCTGCAGATTTCCTCAATAGAAGCCTGGGTTGCCCATGCTGCCGAAGTGGCAGCACTGCGGGTAGAGTGAGCCGTCACGCGAGAGGGAGCAGGCAGGGCCAGAGAGACATATGCGCTGGCGATACAGGCTCTAATCCATCTACCTATGGTAGAGGCTGACGCTTTCTGGCCAATAGAAGAAGGCTGAAAAGATACAAACAAAGCTTCCGATTTACGGAAAGGCGCCGTACGCTTAAGGTAGCATCGCAAAGCTCTCCTAACATCAAGCGTGTGCCACTGCCGTTCCATGTCATGTGACAGGTGAGGGCAAAAATCCGGAAGGATAACTTCTTGTGCTCTATGAAAAACAGTATTAACTTTTGGAACAAATGAAGGGTCCAGGCGAAGAACCACTCTGTCCTCATAAAACGTGCAAAGGTCCTTCCTGACCGACAAGGCAGCTAATTCTGAAATGTGTCTGGCTGAAGTAATCGCAATCAGGAAGGAGACCTTGAGAGACAAGTGTCTCAAAGAGCACGTTTTAAGAGGTTCAAAGGGGGATGAAGTCAAAGCCTGAAGAACCCGAGGCAAACTCCAGGAAGGGTATCTATGAACTACAGGGGGCCTGGTATTGATGACACCTTTGAGGAAAGACCGTACTGTGGGGTGTCTGGACAAGGATTCGGAAGAATCCCACGAGAGCACCGAGGAAAGTGCCGCTAACTGTCTGCGAATAGTGTTGGACGCCAATCCTTTTTTGACGCCCTCCATCAAATACTCCAGCACCTTGGGAATGGTTACCTGAGACAGACTCACGTGATTCCTGTCGCACCAGCGACAAAAGTCCTTCCATGTATGATCATAAAGACGGTTAGTCGATGGCCTCCTAGCCGCTTGGATCATATCTATCACCTCCGCTGAATATGACTCCCCAGTCAGGGCGCGGCGTTCAAATGCCAAATGGTCAATTGAAGCCATTGGGGGTCCGGATGTTGAAGATCCCCCTGCGTCAATCGTATTTGGTCGTCGGGGATCCTCCACGGGGAGGAGATTGAAAGGCTCACCAAGTCTGCAAACCAAGGCCTTCTGGGCCAGTGGGGAGCTACGAAGATCACCTCCGCCCGCTCCTCCAGGATCTTCCTGATAACTGCTGGAAGCAGAGGTAGAGGGGGAAAAGCGTACAACAGGCCTTGCGGCCACCGGCTGCGCAGAGCATCCGCCCCCTCTGCCCCCCAGGAGGGGAACCGAGAGAAGAACCTGGGCAGCTGGGCGTTCCTCGGCGTGGCAAACATGTCTACTATCGGACGACCAAATCTGTCCGATATTGCTCAGAAGACATCTGGATGTAACATCCATTCCGAGTGATCCACTAGTTCCCTGCTGAGGAAGTCTGCCTGCCTGTTTGCCTCTCCCGAGATATGCTCGGCCCTGATGGAAAGCAGGTGTTTCTCTGCCCAGGAGTTCAGAGCTCGAGCCTCTGTCATGAGGGACTTGGACCGGGTGACCCCCTGACGATTCACGTGTGCTTTTGCAGCCACGTTGTCCTTTAGGACTAACACGTTTTCCCACGAGTGATGTGTGAAAGTGCCTGAGAGCTAGGTGAATTGCTCTGAGCTCCAACCAATTTATGCTGTGCCTGAGATTTGTCTGTGACCACTGACCTTGAGCCATCTGGGATTGGAGATGTGCTCCCCAACCGAAGAGACTTGCGTCCGTGGTCACCCTGACCCGACTGGGCTCTTTGAACAAAGTCCCCTTGAGCATGGCCGATGAGACCCACCAGCCGAGAGATAGACGCACCTGATGAGGAACTCGCACCAATTGGTTGGATGTGCTGGTGTGTTGTCTCTGATATGGGGGTAAGAACCATTGAAGGTCCCGTGCGTGTAACCGGGCCCACGGCACTATTGCAATACAAGATATCAGCTTTCCCAGTAGTTGAGAAAGCGTGGCCAGTGACACGGTCCTGCTTCTGCGCACTTTGAGTGCCAGATCCCTGATGCTCCTGCGTCGCTCCTCTGATAGGTACACGAGACAAGCTTCCGTGTCTATCACCGCGCCCAGATGTAGTAGGCGGGTGGAGGGATTCAGCTGGCTCTTTTTGAAATTTAACAGGAACCCGTGTTTCTGCAAGGTGTTTATTGTGAGAGCTAAGTCCGACTGGGCATGTGAGGCCGACAGGGACTGGATCAGAATATCTTCCAGATAACATTGGACACGGACAGGGACTAACCTTAAATGAGCAGCCAGCACCGCCAGGATCTTTGTGAAGACTCTGGGCGCTGAGGATAGGCCGAATGGGAGAGCCCTGTACTGAAAGTGGTGGTTGAGGTAACAGAATCGCAGGTACCTGCGATGGTCCGGGAGAATGGGGATGTGTAGGTATGCCTCCTTTAGATCTATTGAGGTTAATAGATCCCCCCGCCTTATGCTGGCTAAGATGGACTGTAGCGTCTGCATTTTGAATCTCCTGTAATGGAGATGGAGATGGAGATTTAGTCCCTTGAGATCGAGGATAGCCCTCCATCCCCCTGAAGACTTTGGAACTACAAATAGGATGGAGTAATACCCCCGTCCCACCTGATCCAGGGGGACCTCCTCTATAGTCCTGATGGAAAGTAAATGCTGAATGGCGTCCTCCATGAGTCCTCTTTTTATGGATTTTCTCATGGCTGGGCAAGACACAAAATGATTCTGTGGCATGGACTTGAACTCCAGGGACAGGCCGTCTGTGATGGTGCGTAGAACCCAGGAGTCTGTGGTCGTGTCCTCCCATTGGCAGATAAAATAAGTTAGTCTGCCGCCAATGGGAGGGGTCCCCTCCAAGTCACTTGTTGCGACGAAAGGGGCGACCCCCTCTGCCGTGAAAGGGCTGCTTGTTATGGGGCTGGTACTTTGTTCGGTCCCTATAGCTCGTTCTGTCAAAGGAACGCTCCTGCCTCGGGGCTGGGGGCCGGTAATGCTGCGCTGGCTCCGACGCGGTCCCAGTCCGAAAGGACTGCCTGCGACCGTAAGGGAGGAAACGCCTGTTAGTCCTACGTGTCAAATGAGAAATGATTTTTTGTTTGTTTGTTTTCGATGAGATATGGCGTCAGGGCCTCCCCGAACAACTTGCCACCGGTGAAGGGGGCGGTGGCTGCACGCCACTTATGTTTACTCTCAGCTTTCCAAGTTTTGAGCCATAAAAGCCTCCTAGCCACTACGCTGGAAGCTATGGCTCGGGCTGAATGCTTGGCCGAATACAGGGAGACATCCGCCATATATTCGGATGCAGCAATGAGTTTGGTCAAATCCTGATGGATTCTGACCTCTTCCAACGGAATTCTGTCCTGCAACTGAAGAAGCCAGGAAATTGAAATTCTGGCAAAAAAGGATGTGGCAGTTGCCGCCTTAGTAGCCCATGCAGATGCCAAATGGACCTTGCGGAATGCCATTTCTGATTTTTTATCTTCCGCCTTAAGGGCGTCTGAGACATCTGCCGGGAGGCTGGCAGACGAAAAGAGCGGGGCCAGTGACTCATCTACCTTTGGTACCTCCAATAGATCCGCCAGATCTTTGGCTACATCCACTATCTTGCGCTCAGCCGGTCCCTGGGATGGTTGAGCAGCTGGTGATTCCCACTGCCCTTGAATATTCCTGAGGAACAAAAGGGGACAGGGAATTTGCAGGTGTTCAGCTACAGGCAGTGCAAACAAGGGATTAGTGTCCTGTTAGGATGAGGGTTGAGGGGTTGGAGCCGGATGGGAGGAAAGCTTGCCTGTGGTACAGGCCCTACGTAACAATGAAGGGAATAGTGAAGCATTGAAGAGTTCTGCCATGGGTTGTGACTCATGGGTAGGTTCCTCACAATCTGACCAACCATCCTTACTGCCCTCATATTCCGACATTTGAGATGAGTCGGAGTCAGGAGAATGGGAAGGGGAAACCATGCCTGACCTGTCCAGTGGAGGTCGAGTAGAGGTAGCTGGAACAGGTGACCCGGGAACGCCTGTTGTTGGCCCGCTGCCGCCATGGCCTGGAGTACAGCCTGTGATATCCACCCTTGGAGCTGGTTGGAGAAAGACTGCTCCAACGGAGGCCGTAACCCCGTAGCAGTTGGTGTGACAGCAACAGTTGGTGCTGTGGATGGGCCGGGTAAATCAAGGTCCTCCCCAAATAGAGGTGGTCCTACCTGACCAAAGGCCTGAGTCGAGGCCTGCAGCTGCACGTTCTCCGGCGACCAAGCTCTCGATGTGGATGGTAGAGGCGTCCCCGCATCCGGTGGTGTGGAAGTTGACAGAGTATGACCTCTTTCAGCAGACAAGTGTTGGGCCCGGAAAAATTGCTTCTCCAGGGCCCTGTGAGTATGGTCGGCCTGCCTCTCGCTTGCCTTGCCGGCCTTCCTGCCGTATTTCGATTTGGCCTTGGCCTTACCTCTAGGTACTTCAGGTGGTGGTTCAGCTTGCCCAGATGGATTGCCCATGTCCGAAGGCGGTGACTCAGTGGTTTCTGCCATATTCATCGAGATGCAGCCCCAGCTGACCCAGTCTGCAAGGGACGTCAGGAGGCCCTCCTGAAAAAGGGACTGACTTCACGTGGACAGGCATGAGTCGGCCCACCGGCTAACCTGAACTCACGCCTGGCGCACCAAGTGGTGACAAGATCACACGTGTCCCACAATAGTGGCGATGGTCAGCAACTTGAAGCAACCACTAGATGCAGACGGGCAGAAATGGGCAATGTGGCGAGCAGGGCCTGATGACCGTTGCTTGAGCAGGAAACACACCTTGTAGAATGGATCTCTTGAATAGGAGTGATAAATTCTGGAACACTTAAACTCAATGAGAAAAGGTACAGGTAAATACCTATGAGCTCTATACAAGTAGTAAAAAATATGTACAATGTAGTGACTGATGTATGTCAATATGCAGGTACACAAGATGGCGTCCTAGGCCCAGGGAAACAAGGGCGTTTCCCTGTGCTCCAAAATGGCGGATGCCTGAGGTCCAGTCAGTATGAGGGAGGAGAGGTGAGGAGGAAGATAAAGGTATAATTTGGGGCTGTAGCAAGTTAGGAAACTTTCAGGAGGAAGGGAAAGCAAAGGAACAATGTGCCTGTGCAATTGGGGAGCGGTTTGGAAAAATTGTGCCTAACAGTCGTTAGGCACGCAAACTGCTCACCTCCGAAATTTAATGGAGCTTCCTCCTACTCAGCTCCCTAATTTCGGCGAGTAAGGCTAGTAAAGAGCCTCCCCCTTCCCTCCGCTCGAAGCCAGTTGCTCAGCTGTGCTTCGGGCCGAAAATCCTCCGATGAAGGCAGCTCCGTGGAGGAATCCAAAATGGCGGCTGCAAGCCTTTCCGACCGGGCCCGGTCAGAAACGAAGCCACGAGGCTTCAAGGTGCGGTCACCAGCTTGAGGGCGCGCACGCGCTGTCTTCCGGGGTATAAATGAAATTTAACAACCCCCAGAAGGCAAGGAAATGAAGAAAAAATTTCCCCCCTTTTCACGGAGGAATCCAAAATGGCGGCCGCAAGTCTTTCCGACCGGGCCCGGTCAGAAACGAAGCCACGAGGCTTCAGGGTGCAGCCACCAGCTTGAGGCCGCGCGCGCGCTGTCTTAGGGGGTATAAATGAATTTTAACAACCCCCAGAAAGCAAGGAAATAAAAGAAAAAATTCCCCCCCTTTAAACCGATAGGTGCTGAATTGAGGGAAGGGAAAAAACTACCCCACCCCAGTCCTGGAGGGGAAAACAAACCTGAAGGGAAGAGGGAATAATTTCCTTCTGAGGGGAAAATTATTTTACAGTTCTTCAATTTATATAAATGAATCCACCAATGAATCAAGAAAAACCTAGCCTGACCTGCTCCAACAGACAAGAGAGTCAAGAAATCACGTCATCATGGGCGAAGACCAAGATGAAAACTGGGAACTCCCAGACAAGAGGCGTGACAACTTGACAACTTGGTCTGATTGGGCGGTAGGACTGAGATAACCCATTGGTGGATTCTTCCGCAATCATGTTCGAGAATGACCTATTCACTCACACATTCGGCTACAACATAATTTGCTTGGATTAAGTTTAGACTATTCAATCTCTGCAGTTTCTCAATCACGCTCTATATTTATGCATGTTGTGCTTTATTAAAAAAAAGTTAAATAAAACTAAGGACTAATACATTGTATATCAACCAGCTTAGTTACTTACTTTTGCTCCCATATCAAGGAGCTGTTGAGTAAAGGTTTTTGAGTAGTTTTCTGTTCTGCTGGATGACCATACTTCAACATATGCTACAACACCTACAAATTAATTATGAGAGAAATGTTAACATATTGGTATTTTCTTGGGACTACCACTTTTTAGATGCAAATAATTATTTGAATGGCATACTTCACTTTCTCATAAACAGCAAAGACTGAAGATAAGGCATGTTAAATTCAGTATAATTTTAACCCAAATACGTAAATTACAAATTTATCTTCTATTATACACCATGCAGTTATTCCAAAACCATTTTCATAAAGACTAAGTTGGATTGAAGACATTGTACTGTTTTCAAAGTTATCATTGAATGCACTTTCATTTTTGTTTGTTGAAATCACATTTCAGAAACAACTTCTAAATTTTTGACATCCAAATAGTGAAGAATCTTCTTATTTGGATTTTAAATCGATTGCCTACAAATGAAGCTTTCCTGGTGGCATGGAGTGTCTTTTTGTAATGCAATTGGTGGACACCAGCATTGCTCCAACTCCAAATTGATCAAAAAATATTATTGCTTTAAGAGCAGCCAAGAAAAGGACACAAGTACTATTTTTTTCTCTCCAAATACCTAGAATCTTCCACACCAATTTGTAATTTCAGAATGCATAGAAGTTTTAAATGATTAATGGTTGAGGGATAAATAAACATTTATTTTTTAAAAAAATACATTTACCTGCACGTGCATTTTTTTCCTACATAAAACTTAAACACATTTTTCCCCAGAGAGGAAACCTCACTAATCTGTGGCCCTAGAGAAGCAAGGAGGCATCTGAGATTATAGCTAAGCCAAGTTTACAATTGTACATTTCTTATGCAGAATGAAGCCCTTGTGCATTTAGGAAAGCAGTAAAAAAGAACCTACTTGGTGCTACACTAACTTATATCCTACCCAATTTAGGTTTATGCATGTACATTATATGTATAATTTTATGTACATTAAAAAATCCTAAATCATTCGTTTTAATGTTTTATTGGATTTATTAAATTGTACACCGCGCAGAGCCCCTATATGAGGGAGATGGGCGGTTAAGAAGCTCGATATGTAAATAAATAATTATTAGGTTTTTCCTATAACTGCGACTTCCTAGTCAGTGTGGCCCACAGCCGGGTCGGAAGTGCTGGGAAAGATGGACTCCACGCACGTGAAGAACCGATCGAGGAAAGATGAAGATGTGCACCACTTCTTCCCATTTAGCTAGGCTGCATTAACAGAGGGATAGAATCAAGATCACGTGAAGTATTAATACCACTTTACAAGGCCTTGGTAAGGCCACACTTGGAATACTGCATCCAGTTTTGGTCACCACGATGTAAAAAAAGATGTTGAGACTCTAGAAAGAGTACAGAGAAGAGCAACAAAGATGATTAGGGGACTGGAGGCTAAAGCATATAAGGAAAGGCTGCTGGAATTGGGTATGTCTAGTTTAATGAAGAGAAGGACGAGGGGGGACATGATAGCAGTGTTCCAATATCTCAGGGGCTGCCATAAAGAAGAGGGAGTCAAGCTATTCTCCAAAGCACCTGAAGGCAGGACGAGAAGCAACGGGTGGAAACTGGTCAAGGAGAGAAGCAATCTAGAACTAAGGAGAAACTTCCTGACAGTGAGAACAATTAACCAGTGGAACAACCTGCCTCCAGAAGCGGTGAATGCTCCAACACTGGAAGTTTTTAAGAAGAGACTGAACAGCCATTTGTCCGAAATGGTATAGGGCAGGGGTAGGCAACCTTGGCTCTTTTATGACTCGTGGACTTCAACTCCCAGAATTCCTGAGCCAGCCATGCTGACTCAGGAATTCTGGGAGTTGAAGTCCACGAGTCATAAAAGAGCCAAGGTTGCCTACGGGTTTCCTGCCTGAGCAGGAGGTTGGACTAGATGACCTCCGAGGTCCCTTCCAACTTTATCATCATTATTATTATTATTAGTTACAAAACTATCAACTCTTCCTACTTCAGGCTCCCCTTTCATATCTTCAACACCCCCAAAAAACGACGCACAGCTAACGTGTAAAGAAATAATCCTTCCTTCCCACATCCCCCCCTTCTCGCTTTCTTTTTCCAAACCGCCTCATGTCTGTACCTGTCAAAACAGGCCGGCCGTTGCGAAGGTCCATTCTAACCAAACGGTTTAAACGAACTCCGCGCTACCGTTCAAACGGCCCTCTGCTACGGGCGCATGCGCAATACAAAGCAAGATCCTCTCTCTCGATCGCCTGGTGAGACTCATAGAAATAATAACAAAAAAAGTGGACTTTTCCTATCTCTATGGTGAGAGATACGTTGCTCCACCCACCCGGGACGCATGCGCTCCACTTAAGAATTGAGGTCGGGGGTGGGGCGAAACGCAGCCCGCTCAGCTGGATTGACCCCCCCCCCCAAGCGATCCTGCGCGTGGAAAGAGGCGGTCGTCACAATTGATTTTAATTTATGTTAAAGAATAATTTACAAATCCTCGTGATTAGATTCACACACGCGCGCGCGCTGTAAACAGTTGGGCTGGAAGTTTCTTCGCTCCTGGCAGTTGTCCCGATTCGTGTAAGTTTTAGCAAGCCAGATACGCCTAGTTTCCTGGTACCTTTATTACAAATTGATTATGGCATCGTTCGCTTTCGGGGACTGCATATACAGCTAGTCCTCGATTTACAACATTTCATTTAGTGACTGTTCGAAGTTATAATGGTACTGAACAATGTGACTTATGACCATTTTTCATACGATCGTTGCAGTATCCCCATGGTCATATGGTCGAAATTTCAGATGCTTGACAACTGGTTCATATTTATGATGGTTGCAGTGTCTGAGGGTCATGTGATCTCCTTTTGCAACTTTCTGACAAGCAAAGTCAATGGGGAAGCCAGATTCACTTAACAGTCATGTTGCTAAACAAAATGATTCACGTAACTGAACTGTGTAAAATAGGACAAAACTCACTTAACAAATGTTTCACTTAGCAACATAAATTTTGGGCTCAATTGTGATTGCAATTCAAGGGCTACCTGTAATTTCCCCCTCACATGTGCAAATAAATGTAAAGCAATGTGTTGTATCCTTCCCCCTCTGTTGAGAGAAGGCTGTTCAGTTTTGACATAGATGGCCTCTTTGACCCCTCTTTCAAACCAGCAGTCCTCTCTGTCCAAAATGTGGACTTTGCACTTCGAAAGAGTGGCCTTTTGTCTTTTAAATGCAGATGGCCTGCTGAATTTTGTCCTGATGGGTTTGTTCTCCTATGTTGTGCCATGCATGGTTGTTTTGTTTCCCCAGTGTACAGATCTGTACATATCTCACTGCATTGTACTGCATATACTACATTGCTTAGTTTGTGACTGGGTGTTTTATCCTTGGGGTGGACAAGCTTCTGCCTTAGTGTATTCTTGGTTTAAAGTGTGCACATATGTTATGTTGGCTGAAGATCCTCCTGAGTTTCTCAGATATTTGAATAGATGATTCGGACATCCCCACCGTTCAATCAGAGCTGAAGAAGCTTCTTGGATGAGAAGCGAAACTTCTTCAAAGAAAAACAAGAAAATCTCTAGCTGAAAAAAACATCTTGAAAAAGCATCTTTGGGACAACCATGACATGGATGACTAAAAATCTCCACAGACAATATATTGCCATGTTTTTAAATTGTGGGGTTGGAGAAGACTCTTGAAAGTTCCTTGAACTTCAAGAAGATCAAATCAGTCAATCCTAAAGGAAATCAATTCTGACTATTCTTTGGAAGGACAGATACTTGACGCTCAAATCTCAAATGAGAAGAGAGGGCTACTTGGAAAACACCCTGATGTTGGAAAAGATGGAAGGCAAAAGAAGAGGACTGCAGAGGATGAGGTGCTTAGACAGTGTCATTGATGCAATGAACATGAATTTGAACAAACTCCAGGACAGGGAGAGGGGGCTGGTATGCTATGGTCCATGGGGTCACAAAGTCAGACAACAATTCCCACGTTTTATAATGTCGCCCGGCACTAGTTCCCATTCTGAGCTAGAGCCCAATTGAAACTCTTGCTGATGAACTTTACAGCTCTCTGATCACAGTCCCCCAATATCAGTTTTCCTTTATTTTGCCCTACAACCTGGGTTGCTCTTTATTTCTTATTTTTGTTTTCCTGATCCAGGAAAATGGAGTCTAAAGCTAGCTTTGTGGTTTCAGGGACTTGGCTCTGGGATTCTGAATTCAGCTGCCTCCTTCCCTTCACCTCCGTGAAAATCTCAAGAGTTTTTAAAAGGGATCTAAGGATCTTTTCATTTCACTAATGAGTTTATGTGAGGCTTACCATCAAAATTGCTAACATCCAGGTTGTATTTATTTCACAGTATATTAATCATGGGTGTGTGTACACTCTTCAGGACTGGAGGATATTCTTTGAAAACTACACATATGATTGTTGTGTTAGATTTGTTTTGGCTACAAATATTAGTTTATCTCAGTTATTAAATTGTGAACTATTGCATTGAATTTGACAGCTATTATTTTTCTTTATACTGGACCTTGGCAAAAATGTGCCATCACCACCTGCTTCCCTTCCCTTCCTGGAATGCTTTTCTTTATTGCAGGAATAATTTCTGGCCACTTTAAAATGTCCATCAGTTCAGTAGATGGCACTATGGCACAATCTATTTACCAGCATTTGTCTCTGAGCTAAAAAGGCTCTAAGATCCATTTCCAAAGGGTTTTTTTTTCCTTCTAGTTTTCAGCTTAGTGTATGTGTAACATATCCATAAATGTAGGATTTCCTTCCCTTTAAAGTCTTAACTTGTACAGCAATAAAATTGAGATATAAGAGTGACATTTTCTTTTCCTTTCCTATACAGTTGGACAGAAAGGTTTTAAAATAATGCTTCACAATTTTAGCGAGTCCTCAAAAAGATATTACAAGAACTTTTGAAGTGCATGTGCACTTAACCTTGATCCCAAATGGACACAGCTCAGGTTAAAAAGCTGGAAACAGTTTCATTCCCAGAGAGCTTCCATGCTGCCAAGAGTTACCATGAGGTAAGATGGCCGGCCTATACATTTTATAAATAAATTTTATAACTGAAAATACGTAAATCTGCTTGAATGCTCTTGCTTCAATTATGTCAGTTGCATTATTTCGCATCCTGATCATTCTAATATAATTTTACAGAGGAGTATGTAATGAACCCTAGAGGAATAAGGAAAGATTAAAAGCATCAACAGTACTTTAAATTAGGGCATTTCTAACTTGTAAAACTGCGCTGGACTCTGCTTATACAATCAGAATTTATTCATTTTTTTTATGGCAGTAGCTGCAGAAAAAAGCAGGACACATGGTATTTATACTTCTCCTGATTCAGAGCCTCCAGTTCTGTTCTCTCTTGCTGTCCTATACTGTAATTTTACAAATCGGCCCTTCTGGATTTGACTCAGCAGCAGGTTTATTTTTGAGTACTTGGAAGGCTGATAATAGGATCATGTCACAGCCTTTTCACTATTAGGTCACACTGTAAAAATACACCCATTTGGCATCACATTCTGTAAAGAGTCAAAAAGACTGGTTGTTGGGGAGTGGGAAGAAAACATTATTTGGAAAATGAGAACTCTAATATTTCTGAAATGGATGTCACAATAAATGTTAAGAGCAGGACTCCGTACCAGATTTAAAGTATGAGACGTTTGTGTGCGTTGCTGAGCTTCAAATTAATCCAAATCGTTTCACACAGTGATCTTGTTAAAATACAGTTAAGTCTCTAGTGAAACAGTTTTGCCAAAACAATTTTTCACTATTCCTGGTGTAATAAAAACTAATTACACAAGAGCCACTTTTCAGTGTCAGTAAATGTATATAGGTAGTCCTCAATTTGTGGCCTCAGTTGGGACCAGAGCTTCCATTGCTAAGCGAAGCAGTTGTTAAATGAGTCACATCCGATTTTATGTGCTTTTTTCTGTGGTTGTTAAATGAATCATGGTCCTTAAGATAAACTGGCTCCCCTCAGTGACTTTGCTTGTTGGAAGACCCCTGGAAAGGTTACAAATGATGATCACATTACCTCAGGATGCTGTAATTGTTGTAAATACATGCTGGTTGCCAAACACCCAAATCTTGATCAAATGACTGTGTTTTAACTGTGTTTTAA